GACCTGGTTTTGGTACGCTGCCCACCTTCTCCCCAAGATGTGTAAGTAGACCAAGTTTGGTCACGCTAGGTCAATTGAGGGTTGCGTTATAGAGCGGAAGGGAAAATCTCTGCGGCGGACCGAGCGGCGGCGGCGGGGGCAGCGGCGGCTGTACAGACATGTCCCATAGTATCCCCGCCGACTTCGTCGCGGGGGATACAATTATCATTTTGCAATATATATATATATATTAATATATATATATATATATATATAACACATATATATATATATATAACACATATATAGATATATATATATATAGATATAGATATAGATATAGATATATATCCCTCGAACACATACGAAATCACCTGTCACACCGCCACCTGCGAAATTAAGCCGGCATGGAGGACAGCAGGTGAACATCTGTTGAACTAACGAACATAATAACGAGCGTCAGTTTTAATGAGACATTAGCAGCTTTAACGTTAAGCTCGCGCCGGCTGCCAATCACCATCGCTAAAGTACACGCAAGTGTGTCAGACCTGCAAAGATGTATGTAGCCGTGCTGATCAGGAGTGGACCTATAACGGGCGGGAATGTGTGTGCACTGTGTACCTGTGACAGTGAGTGTTGTTACAAAAACCCGGAAAAAGGGATACAACGAACATTACATGACTAAGCTATGCGATAGTGCGGTGGGAGGTGTCACCGTTGAGCATAAACCCGTAGTCACCCTCGCGAGGACATTGCACCAGAACAAGAATGCGTTCGAGTGTTGTCACATGATGTGACAAGGTGCGTGTGCGTGTGCGTGTGTGTGTGTGTGTATGTATGTGTGTGTACGTGTATGCGCGCGCGTGTTTGCGCCCGTGATCGTATGTTACAAGACGCATGTGGTGTATGCGTGCATGTGTGCATGTGTACGTGTCCCTGTGATTATATATTACAAGATGCGTGGTGTGGTGTGTGCGCGCGCGCGTGTATGCGTGTATGTGCGAGTGCATGCGATATATGTACATCAGAAGTAGCTACTATCTACGCCACCCCCCCCCCTATATCCCCCCCCCCTAATTAACTATTATCTACTTCTGATGTACAAAAATAACAGACTCCTGGTAATACTACATACTGTATGAACATGCGATCCTGCGAATCAACGGGTGTGGATTTGTGAACACGCTTGGGCGTATGCTTGTAGTTGTACGTGCGTTCGTGCGTGGGCGCATGCGTGCACGTGCGGGCATGAAGTGTGTAAAGATGTGCAAGCGTGTGCTTGCTTGGGCGTGTGCAGCATGCACATGCGTTTGTGCGTGGGTGCGTGCGTGTATGTACGGGCGTGCGTGTGCGAACAAGCATGGGTATGTGTTTGGGCGTGGCAGATGGGCGTGGGCGACTCGGTGAGCCAGGTTTTTCCACCGAAAGGCTTGACAGTCATATTAAAAGACGACATCGCAAATAATTACATATCGGCTAAAAGGCATATTCTGCGAATGTATTCAGGCATGCAACTACCACGCCTACAGCAGTCACGTTTAACTTATATGCACAGCTTGAGTCCCGCCTAATACCTATCTGTCTTCGTTGCCACGTAACATAAAATGGTGTAGTAGCTGGGCCGTCTCACAGAGTAGCCGGCTTCGAATCAGGAAATGCTCTTGGGAACACGCGTACACGCACGCTAACGGACATGCGCGTACACACAAACACACGCCCCCTCCACACACACACACACGCACGCACACGCACGCACACACACACACACACGCACACACACGCACGCACGCACGTTCATCTTTCCTCACCTCCTCACGAATTCGGGGCAGGTGGAAGAAAATTACACCCGCGTACTATACTATTTACCTGTAAGTGATTCTTCCACACGGTCGGCCTGTCGTGACATTTCTCCGGTTTCGCAAGAACCAGCACCTGGTATACAGCGTTGCTGATATTGGCCTGCATGAGAAAACAACACAATTACACACAGAAACACAAGTGACCTGATGGTATTAGGAGTGTAATAATATATATCTATATTATGACACTTCTGATGGTAACCCCTTCCTCCCGAACACACGACACAACCACCCCCTATCACGCCACAGCGGCATAGACAGCTCGTAATTTCACACTAATATTTAAAAAAAATGCAGTGAGATCGCTTAGTGAAACCTGGACTCACGGTAGCGCTATCAGCTGCTGCTGCACCGGCAGCTTCTGTTCTTGCGAATAATTATAACGACAGGCGCGCGCGCGCATGCGTGTGTAGCGGCACGCGCTCGACGCACGCGTTCACGTGCGCTACACTCGCGCGTTGGTTGTTATCACGTATATTATATGCCTCTCGGTAGCCGCAAGCTACTGTTCCACTCACTAATCACTGTCCACCACGGGGCGGGACGTGCCCGCACTCACTACACGGTAAAGTCGTAAGGTCAGACAGGGTTGTACCGGTACTCTAACCCGCACACACGGTGGTGACCACGAGCGACTCTCTCTCGCTCTCGCTCTCGCTTTCGCTCTCTGTGTTCTTG